TGATACTTATCTCGTCTTCCTTTTCCCAATTTGACCCTTCCACTCCATGCTTACGTCATAACACCATTATTAAAGGAATTTTCCTGTTTCTTAGTGCGTAAATCTTTATTTCTAGTATCCCCACTTCTAGTATCCCCACTGACATCTCTTCCTAGGTTAAATCATATTGTACATCTAAAGTCTAATGGTTGATCACATGACTAGAAACGTGTAAGTATTTTCGCAACATTGGTATGTGGAAAACATTATGTATTACTGAAAGTTCTAGTAGTAGGACCAATCTATATGCCAAATCTCTGATTCTTTCTAATATATCAAATGGTCCAATGAATCTTGGTCCCAATTTTCCTTTCTTTCCAAATCTAAGCACTTCCTTTATCTGAGCTACTTTCAGACATACTTATCACCAATTTGGAACTCAAGATCTTTTCTCCCCCCATCAGCATAACTTTTCTACGTATCTTGAGCAGCCTTAACTCTATCTCGAATTTTATCCACGACTTGTACTATTTGATCAATGATCTCGAGTCCTAGGATCCTTCTTTCTCCAACCTCGTCTCAGTAGATAGGTGATCTACAATTCCTTCCATATAGTGCCTCATAAGGTGCCATGTCTATAGTTGCAAGTGTGTTTCCCAGCTGCCGTTGAGATCTAGTACACATGCTCTTAACATATCTTTGAGTATCTGAATCGTCCTTTCGAATTGTCCATTAGTCCGTGGGTGGTATACGGTGCTAAATTTCAGTTTGTTCCCATAGCATTTTGTAGACTTTTTCAAAAGTTTGACGTGTATCTTGGGTCTCTATCTGAAATAATAAAAATAGGAACTCTATGTAACCTGACTATTTCTTTAACATAACTTGTTTATATTGTTCCATGATGAATGTCATCTTAACTAGAAGAAAATGGACAAACTTTGTAAGACGATCTAAATTTACTTAGATAGCATTGTTTCCTTTAGCTGATCTCGAAAATCCTATCACAAAATCCATGGTAATGTGTTCCCATTTCCATTCCGGTATATTTAGTGGCTTAAGCAACCCTGAAAGTCTTTGATGTTCTGCTTTCACTTGCTGACAAACCATATATTTACTTACAAAGAGTCCTATTCCTTTTTTCATATTTCTCCACTAAAATATATCTCAAAGGTCTTGACACATTTTTGTACCGCCTGAATGTACTGCATAAAGGATGGAGTGTGCTTCTTCAAGAATTTCTTTCCTTAATCCCTCATTTTTGCACCGCCTAATATCTAGCGAGAGGTTCGCCATTGCATTTGCACTGATCAGTACACCGAAAGGATCACCTATACTGGTGATGAAATTTTAAGAACATGTACAGACTGTCATGCTGCTATAAAGGTGATTGCAAAAATTGTTAGTAAATAAATTACTGTTAGGGATTCTAGAATGTTCCATCATATGAAAGATGGATCTTGTTCATATGGGGATTACTGGAAAGATTGTAGATTAAGAAGCATCTATTTCCAATGAACTAATCAAATATTGTTGTCCAAAATCATTTTGAATATGAACTAGAGTCAGAATTTTACTACTTGTAGCTGATCATTATTCTTTTGTTCTACGCCTGCTGTTTTGAAAGTTCATTCCTAAATCTGTACTGTAGCTGGCCAAGGAAAGATCATCTTGAACTTATATTGCACTTTTTGGTGGTTGTTCACAGATTCATTCCTTGTCATCAATTTTTGGTCCGAGTATGGACTTTTTCTCATTCAAGCAGAATAGTCGGAATCAAGAAAATAAGATCTTTGTAGTTCTGAAGGGTTTTATGGTAAGAAGGGGAAGAGAAGATCTAATCATATTACAAATTAGCAGAAAATAAGGTGTCACTCAAATGTATAACCCAACTGTTGAAATTTGCATTGAATGTTCGATGATACGTAGTACAAGAGAGGGATCTCAATTACCAGTCAGCCTACTATTGGCAATAAACTCTGAAATCAGAGGATGAACTGCCATTAGTTACAAGATTGAGACTGCAAATGTATGCATGTATGCATATGCCAAACATGTCTATACATGCTTTGATGGCTAGCTCGTGGTTGCAAGTGGATTCACAAAACCCAAACCTATTCAGGTCTCTCTTTCGAGCAGCGCCCATGAGTATGATATTGGGAAGATAGTTGCTTCAGTTCCTATACATTCCTATGTTTGCTCTTTGCTAGTTGTTACTTCTTTGCGGGAACTGAGGTCATATCAAGTGGTTGTGAAAGTGTAATCTTGAATGGTTACCCCTCTAAGAGAGTATGTTCAACCGGCTCTTGATTTAGAACGTCCTACTCAAAATGTCAAACTGTCTTCATTGTGCTCTACAAAGTTTTGAAAATTCTTCTCTAACTGATTTTGCTAAGTTTAACTCCTTAAAATCTTGCCCTTTGTACACGTTAGAAGAAAATGATTATTAAAGGATTGAATTTCCCCATATATTACATATCGTCAAAAGGAGTACGCTCGAATTCCATATCCTCTATGTGCATATTCAGATGCAGATTGTACAAGATATTCTAGTGTTACAAATCTTCCTTTCTAGCAATGCACTTGTCTCTTAGCAGGGCAAGAAGTAGACAATTGTTTTTTCCTTCCAAGTATATATATTGTACTTTAGCAGATATACTACAGACAAGTGTATGCATCAGGTGTCATTAAAAAAGACACCACATCTTGTTCTGCTCAAGTCCAATGTTAGACTTGTTCCTTTCTATATTTTACCTTTTGTTGATCTCACACTTTATTCGCCAACTTGTCTGCAGTTTAGCTTATTAGATTATTATCTACAAATCCATGGAGCAGAAATGAAGCAGTTCCGTCTGCAGCAAAATCACTAACTATTTTGCACTTCAAGTAAGTCTTGTAGAAACATTATCAGATGACAAAATTGAACGAGTTCAAAACATGCATCAGGTGTCAACTTTTTAAGCAGCATTTTTGCAAGATTATAAAGCCAACAGCTCCACATTAACTCAAAGAGAGATAACTGGTGTATTCAGATACAACACGCTAAGGCATAACACAACGCTATATGGAAGACGAGAATTAATAATTTACATACACATGGCAATAGGCTATTTATTGGAGTTAAATGTTTTAATGACCACTGAATTTTGCATCATGTCACGACTTACTCATCGAACTTTATCACTATCCCATTAGTCAATGAACTTAGCTCTGTCATTGTCCATTATTCACCAAATGGATGGAGTTAAAAATGATGCCTACACGGAGGATGGATAACTATCGTGGCCAGTTAATTCTGTCCAACAGTAAATTTATCCGTCAACTCAATGCCATGTCATCATTTTCCGAACACGTTCACAAACCCCACCCCAAACAAAAATTAAAAATTTAAAAAATAAAACCTCAACCCTAACCCCAAATCGATTGTAATCACTACAAGAACACAAGGATCCCCAAATTGATTGAAATCAGCGGTTTGTTGGAACTGCCAACCGTGATTTGAATTGCAGTAAAGTTAAGTTTCATTTATTTCTGTAACCAATTTGAGGATTGAGCGTTTTTCTTCATCTGCTTCGTTAATTGTGGACTATTAACTGAATATCCTGGCTCCCTTGCCTGAGTAGCAGTGTAAGGGAAGCTGCTGCCAGATTCACCGTACAATCTCTGCAAACGAGTTAGTGCACTTTTGCATCTTTCCTTTTATAATCCTAATGTCTGCATTTGCTACTTCATACATTTGATGTATACCGGTTGGAAATTAAGAGGTTGATATTGGTTGGAATGCGTTTGACAGAGAATGAGTTAGTACAGCTTGCATTTGATGCACTTGACAGAGAATGATATTGGTCGGGGTGGAGTTAATCTGCCAATGGACCTTAGGAAGAATTGGTTATGTGTTCCTTCTTAATCACTTTCTCCCTACCTCATTTCCTCTCTTGCTTTCTTTTCCTCTATGTTGAGGTAAAAACATATGAATCTATTGTTCTGTTCCAGATGAAATGGATAACTTAATTCTGTTAAAACTCCACCTTTATATTTATAATTTCACATCATTCATGGGGGAAACACACACATTAGTAAACACATCTACTTAGTGAACATCCATTAAGGCATATCTAATTGATGCCATCTGATCTAAAGGTGCCAATCTGCAGGTAAAAAGTTAACCCTTCTTCACAAAAAATGCTTTTTCACTACAAATTTATGGTTTGTTTGTCCATCTGAAGGTAGAGTTGCATGTCCTCAACCTATATACTGATACTGTAACATATTGAAGAAGAAAATATGTTGCTGCATTGTAGCTTCCATTACTAATAAAGTATCCTAGTGTCCCTGTATTACATCTGGTTGTCGATGTTTTGTGTAAAATATAAACATCTATACTCCTGGTGAAAAAGGACATGATAAAAATCATGCCGGAATATATTAATCCTAAAACTTACACTTTGTTTGGATGTCCTAATTAGTGAAAATATTTCATGGTGTATCTAGTTTGTCCTGATGAAATGCTGGAGATCTGCCTTCTTATGGATAATTTATGTGCCATGCCTTCATCCCCCAACAATTGTTAGGACCATACTTGACAGAAGCAGAGTTAGCAGCATTGCTGGAACAGGTTGAGAAAGAGGAAACACGTGCCATGTGGTGTGCAATGAGTCAAATAGAGGAGGTATCGTAGTTGTTGATACTTTGTTATTCACCCAATTACAAATTGACACATCATGAAAAATTAAAATTGATGCTAGGGTTGGAACAAAATTGATGACAACTTTAATTTTTCATAATGTGTCAATTTGCAATTGGATGAATAACAATTTGATAGCAGAGCTCAACACAATGAATATTTGTTCAACCCCTTTTTGTATTTATATAGTCACATGACTCGTGATCGTATTCTGATGTAGTCAATTAATACTAGACCAGTGTTATTCGACAACAGGTACAAAATTGTATGGAACTCACACCAGAGCCATGAATTCACAAATATGTGGCGATATTTATGAAAATTGGGATGATGAAGTAAAGGTACCAACAGCACGGAAGCATCCTTGACACAGTGTCCTAATTTAGACATGCTCCTAATCTAATTCTGTACACTTACTTCTGCTCTAAAATAAGATACCAGTTCCCTGAGCATGTGCAATACAAAGGAAATATAATCACAAACTAAATCCAACACCGTGAAGAGTAATATTACATGCTAAACACATGATTATATAAACTTAAGCCCAGAAACTAAATTTCAACTACAGCACATGAAACTTCCTGATTGTTAAACTTCCCCTGTATAATAGGGATAGATACAATAGTGCACAGAATTATTCAAAGCCATTTGGGAATAAGAACCCATTTAACTCCACATACCGCTACAAAAACGATAGTACCTCTTGAAAGAGCTGGGACAAAGACTGTAGCTCTGTCATCACACGTCCTGTCGTAGCTGCCAAAGTATTCACCATAACTAGAATCAACCAACTAGTAATCTCAACCATTACAAGAATGTATAGGAGTAAATTGCTAGCATACTGCAAATAGGCCATCTTATTTCGGCTATTCACCTCAGCTAGAATCAATCGACAAGTATTCTCAAGTTTCAACCATTACAAGAATGTGGGGTAAATAACTGGAACGGGGTAAATAGGCCATTCACCACAGCTAGAATCAATCAATCAGTTAACTCAACCATTACAAGAACATTTAGTAATAAATTACTAGCATACCACAAATAGGCCATTTTATTTCCATTATTCACCCCAGCTAGAATCACTTGATCAGTAATCTCAACCATTACAAGAATGTGGAGTAAATTACTGCCCGCGGCAAATAGGCCATTCACCACAGTTAGAATCAAACAATCAGTCATCTCAACCATTACAAGAACACTAAATTGTAAATTACTTGCATACTGCAGATAGGCCATTTTATTGTCGTTATTCCCCACGGCTAGAATCGATCAACCAATAATCTCAACCATTACACAGACCCAATACGTTTAGGGTTATTAGATCCTAAAGATTTCTATCTTTACATCTTAGCAGTTTCTTGTCCAAAAAAAAAAGCCTAATTAACATCAAAGTTGCAATCGAGACGAAGAAAATCCAGCACTTTTAACTCTGTAAAAAATCTTTAAACTTCTTCATATTCTGGATTTAGCAATATAACTCAGTAAAAAAATCTTTAAACTTCTGCATATTCTGTATTTAGCAGTATTCTCGTGCAAACACGTAATTGATAACTCCTAAATTCCATAAAACTTTTTCAGCTTACGTTGTAATCAACATCACACATTTTGACACATACTACTGTCCGCCTATACCATTACAAAAACGATAGCACCTCTTCAAAGAGCTGGGACAGAGATTGTAGCTCTGTCATCACACTTTCTGTCGTAGCTGCCAAAATATTCACCATTGCTATAATCAATCAACTAGTAATCTCAACCATTACAAGAATGTGTAGGAGTAAATTACTTGCATACTGCAAATAGACCATCTTATTTCCATTATTCATCTCAGCTAGAATCACTCGACCAGTAATCTCAATCATTACAATAATGTGGAGTACTAACTGAAATGGGGCAAATAGGCCATTCACCACAGCTAGAACAAATCAATTAGTAATCTCAACCATTACAAGAACATTAAATAGAAAATTACTTGCATACTGCAAATAGGCCGCAGCTAGAATTACTTGACCAGTAACCTCAACAATGACAAGAATGTGGAGTAAATTACTGCCACGCAGCAAATAGGCATTCACCACATTTAGAATCAATCAATTCATAATCTCAACCATTACAAAGACCCAAAAGGTTTAGGGTTATTAGATCCTAAAGATTTCTATCTTTACATCTTAGCAGTCTATTGTCCACAAAAATTAAAATAAAAACAGCCGTTTAACATCAATGTTATAATCTAGACAGAGAAAATCCAGCACTTTAACATTGTAAAAAATTTTAAAACTTCTGCATATTCTAGATTTAGCAATATTCTAGTGCAAACATATGCAATTAATAACTCCCAAATTCCATAGAACTTTTTCAGTTTCTGTTGTAACGAACATCATGTTAAGATTTGCACCGTTCTTCCTCAACTTTAAAATACAATTTGACGTGAATTTAAGCAATTGAATTCTTAATATTCATACAAGAAAAGAAAAGGGGCCTCAAGCAACATTCTGATAGGTTCTAAGGTACTTCAACAAAAGAAAAAGATAATTATTTACTCCGGTTGCAAACCATCGTTCAAAAGTTTTGCCTAAACGAAATTCAGCATAGCAGGAAAATTTCACATAACTCTGCAGCTTAGTAAACAATTAACTGACTTACCAGCATTTTATTAACTATTTTTTGTGTTTTACAACTCCAAACTCAGCTCAACTTTCAATAATCTCCAGCTAACTAGTTATAGTAGGATCTTAAATCAAAGATAAAAAGGTGGTGTAAATTCTTATCAATCAAACAAATTCTTCAAATCAAGAAGCGAAAATTAAAATACCAACGATATACACACGTCCACTACCTTAAGTATTTCACGAAATCTTAGGAATATGACATAAATACCAGAGAGAGAGAGAGAGTAAACTGAATTTAGTATAAGTCATCTTATAGTTGAAAATTTCTAGAAATAATCCTAATTCATCAATGTCCTGTTTCCCAATAAAATCATTAAAAAAAAATCCTAAATGGGTCTACAAATTTCAGATTCTCAATAGAGAAATTAATCAGTAGCAATCAACTAAACTAAACCAAACCAACAGCAAAGAAAAAGAACCCTAAAATCAAAACAATAAGGTCAATCAGGATAATCAATCAAGAAAAGTATCCAACAAGTAATCAATTTAGATATTTAACAAGCTTAATTCCGAACTCAGTTATACAGTAGAGTACCTAAATAAACGCCGATACATTTCATTTGCAGTAACGATCTGCCTTTTTCTTGACCCGGTCATCTAGCGCTTCTTCAACGGACGTCACCTTAGCATTCGGATCGTAACCGAATTTCTTAGCCTCAACCGGGAATAACTGATCGTACTTCATCTTCTTCGCAGCGTCAATCGTGTATATATCCGAATTCGAATCAGCATTTACAGTAGTTGGTTCATCCTCCACGAAGTCGTTTGATTCTATTTTGTTTTTCTTCTTCTTTTTCTTCTTGTCGATGGGCTTGTCGCGGGTGGCGAGTGCGCCGCCCTTGAAGATTAATCTTCCGCCTTTAACCTTCTCGTACGCCTCCGACATTACTAATCCCCAATTCTATGTGGGTGATCGATCGGTCGATTTTGTATAGGTTTTCTAGGGTTTTGGAACAATATTCAACTTTGGTTGAAATTTGAGAGAATTGTAGTGAATGGAAACACAGAGGAACCCTCCGACTCTCGATTAATTGAATATTTGAAAGGACACGCTTTTCCTCCTTTTAAAATAAATGAATAAATAATCGTCGAAAGCTTATCTTTTAATTTCTACACCATTCCTTTACTATCAATTGAAAAAATGTTATAAAATAGAGATGGAAAAAAAGAGTAGAATATCGATAATTAGTTCATTTGATTGTGAACCAAAATCTTAGGATTGCAAGATTTACAATAGTTGTCGTAAATATGGTTGTAGTGATATAATTGTCATTCACTAATAAACATATAATTTGCATAAAAAAAAATTCCTATTTTATTTGACCTTTTGTATTTACTAGTCAACAATGATATGCACACAGGGATAAAAAAAAAAAAAATAGGGTTTGGATCCTAATGCCACGTGTCAACAGTAAATTGGACAGTTTAAAAAAAAAAAACTCGTTTCCAATCCTAGGATTTAAACCCAGGATGAGCATAATTATTCTTTAGCATCGATTTGATTCCCATTCTTTTGCCCAAAAATGAAAAATATGGCATTTATCAATCACATCAGGCCACTATATTTGACCTTCTATCTCGTATGTAGATCCCGCAATAATTATATTTTTCATTCTCATTCTTACAAAAATGAGTACCAAACAGAGCCTTATGGCTTGTTGGATTGGGACCCCAACTGACATGAAAACAGATAAAATCAATTTGAGTTAATTGCAACCCAAAATGAACTGGCCCATTTTTTTTAACCAAAATTGACTCAATATGTGTCTATTCGATTTCAATATATTTGATTAATGTATTTCACTCAAACTTTACACACTATTTAAGCTTGATATTTAATTAATTCCTACAAGTTTTAGAGCATTTTAAAATGTGTTTTGATGTTATGATATAGGTAGACGAAATTGAAAGAAAAAAGCAAAAGTTGGCAAATTTGGAAATATTGGCTAAATTGTAAGAGATCAAAAGCTTGAGGACTAAAGTGTAAATATTTAAAAGTTGTGTCGAACCTCATGATAAAGATTTGAGAGTGTCATGAGTCAATTGGATGAAGAAAGATGTTCAAGAAATCAAATATAATCAAAGTATTATCAGACATCAATTTTCAACTGAAAAAATTATGCTTTGAATTTTAAGTCTCACATTTAGACTCATTTTTGACATAGCAAGCGATCGAATTGAAAAATGATATCTAAACCAAAGTTGTATCACTTTGAGTTATTTTTCCAATGTATCTTGAATTATCTCAATCGAATATCAAGAGAAGAAGTGATGCCAAAAATATTGAAGGAAGTACAGTGTTATCTTCCACCAGAAGTGGGCGCCCTAGTGCCCATGCTATTGAAAATAATAGAATTCGCAACGCCGCATTGCGGGAAAAGTGTTTTTGATGTTTTTAGACTCTTTTCTTGGATCGATTCAATCCTAATTCATCCAAAATTCCAGATGCTATAAATATAACCTTGGAGATTTCTTTTCAAAAAGAAAAATGGGGGAATTCTATTTTACAATTCATACAATTCAAAGAACAATTCAACGAAGTAACAGGGGCTAATATCAAGGAATCAAGCGAGAACCACGAAGAACATCAAAAGGAAAAATCAATTTCAAGCTTCAAAAGAGTTTTTCCTTCTTCTTCTCTCTATATTATTCATTAATATGCTTAAATTTAATTCTTCTATCATGAGCTAAACATCTAATATAGGATTTGATTGTAATCAAAAGTTGATATTACGATTTAATTTTATTATAGTTATTTCTATTTGATTTTTCACATATGTTTAATTGTGTCATAAAATTAATGCTTTCAATTAATTGGCCATTAATTGTAGTCAATTCTAGCATCGGAGAGAGGGGAATTTAGGGGGGTTACTCCATAAAAAAATCATGAACTTGATAAATTCTTGATTTTAATTCAGGATAGAGATATTGGAATCGAAATTTAGGATTAAATTCTAGTAGGCACTCGAGAGAAAGGAGATAAAGATATTATGGTTTTTTGCTTTTAAACATGAAAATTTTGACTAGAATAATTTATCATAATTGATAATTAGATGAACTCATTCCCTATGCCTTTCTTATAATGATTTATTCGTATAAATTGCACTCCTTGAATTTCTCACCATATTCACCTTTAGATTATGGTACTTAGTAAAAATTAACTCCATTACTATATTATAAAAATTGAGACCGTCCACTTGCAGTATAAGTCACAGTATAGAAAACGCGTGACAATATTGGTTTGGTTTGGCCCAAATCAATATAGAAAAATGAAGAAACTTACACATAACTTAATAAAAATAAAGAATTTTAAAAATACTTCACAACTTTTTAATTATATCTAAATCTCTTAATTATATCTCCACCCAACATTCAAAAATCATAATTTGATCTCATCTATCCTTCTTCAAAAAAGTATTGGCTGGAAATCTCAGTTTTTTATATTTCAAAATATTATTTCATTATCTCTGATTTTTGTTTTTGTTGACAAATTTATTGATTTCATTTCATTAAAATTTGAAATATTTGTATTTATGTTTAGTTTTGTACATTCTAAACTTTGAAGATTTACTCTCTTAAGTATATTGTCTTTACATGAGAGACAACTTTGATCACAATCTCATACTTCAGTTTCGCAATAGGCAGCATGTTTTGGGTGCAACAATGTGTCGTATTTGTGATATTTTATGTTACGTTATACATGTTACATTTTCAACAACACTATGAAATAAAAAGTATATTGTGATATGTTATCTTCAATTTGAATTATGTTATATCGTCATACATTATTTGTGATTTTTTGTGATAGTTAACGTCATTCGTTCCATATGTTGCAATTGAACCTTCTATTTACATACTATGTTATGTTACAATGATTGATTGATTATGAGTTCTGCATTCTGATATGTTATAATTCTAAAAACTAAAATTTACAAAACTAAACTCTAGATGAAATAAAAATTAAAATTGTTGAAAAATGAAAATTCTAAGAAAAATATATTTAAATGAACATAAATAAAAGTTCCCATTACACATCATTAATTTTTATTTTTCATTTTCTATATTTTGCCAACTCAATTTATTATTTATTTTTATTTTACTATGTAACGAAAAAATATTGTAAAATTCACTAACTTTAAAATTATTCATCAAACTAAATGTACATTTTAATTTTCTATTTTGGAAATGATTTTTCAGATTGATAAATTAAAGCGTATTTTAACAATCTTAAAACCGACCCTCAAAACAAAAAAAAAATTAAAAATGAATTCAGACTCAAAATAAAAAATCAAAACACAAACTAAATGGACATTTATGTATTCATCGTGGAAAGAAGGTGGTCAAGTTGACTCAAGGGTGTCAATTCGGCTTGTCGATTCGAACGGCCTGTGGCTCGACCTAAAAAAAAGCTCGATCCAACTCGACTCATTGCTCGTTGGAACCAAGTTGAGGCTCAACCCAAGTCTCATTCTCAACCGTGTTAGCTACACGAATACGAGTCATTTTGGCTGGTTTATAGCATCTTTGAAAAGGCAGCTCCAGCAGCTGAAAAAGACAGCTTTTCAGCAATCTTTTTAATGGCACCACAGCTACAGTTGAAAAGCTGCCTTTCTAATGGCAGGCTATCTGCCTTTAAAAATAATAGAATTTCAAGAAAATAATTTTAAAAAACGAACCAACTCGAGGCCCATTTTTTCGATCGAGCCAAACTTGGATCAAACCAAAAAAAGCTTGATCCATGTTTCCTCACGCCTTGAACTTTGACTCTGCTCAACTCGCTTAAATTTCTAAGTTGGCTTATTAGACTGGGTATGCACTTTTTGCATATAAAGAGGATTTTACTCAATGTACATTAACAAGGAAAGAATTACTTTACGAATTTTGACTTCAACAACAATTTATGATAACAGAAAAACCATTTCACAAATTGGACTCATAAGGATAATGTTCTATAATTTTACTTCAAACCGTATAAATTACTTTTGGACCTCAATGCATAACAAACATTGGTTGAAGCAATTCTACTAGACAACTTAAACATAGGTGACGGGTTTAATAGATCATATGCTCAACTCAAGATTAAATAATCAAGAATGGAAAGATACGTGACATAATTGTTGGTTATCTAATCCAATTCATTGTAGCAAACACGTTGTGATAATGAAATTGGTTATCTCAGTACAGTTCATAAGAAACCTAATGTACTCATCGAACTTTTAATGAGTAGAACATGAATTTTCCTAAGCTTGAACTTCATTTGTTACAAAAAATGTAGCTTAGAACAAATCTAAGAGTAAAACCAAATGTGCAACTGAAATATAGCAAATATATATAGGGTTGCCCTGGCCTAAGGCCAACTATGCCAAGGCCTAGGGCCTCATAAGAAAAATCCAGCCTGCATCCATTAGCAACCCATTCCAAGGCTTGAAAAGAAACCGAACTATTTTAGATAGGGATAAAGGAAGAAAAACGTTGATTTATTGAGCCTCTCTTTCCAGTTTTGTCGAACCATTGTGGCTACAGGACGATTTCAAGAACAAAAGGACCGCTGCTGATGTCGAAGGATGCAAAGAAGAAAGAAAAAGGATGATCAAACAAAAAGAGAGAGAGAAGGTTTGTTATTTTTCCATAAACCCAGATGAATGTTCCTTGTGTTTTTTATTTGGGTATTTGAATTTCTATTGTCAATCCATTTAAAAATAGGGGATTTATCATAGAGGTCGTTAAATTTGAAAATACGCTAAAATTTGTCACTTTTACTAAAGGTACTAAATAAATGTCACTTTTTAGTGTGAAAAGTCCAAATTACCCTTAATATTACCTTTTGGGGATTATTTAATGCTTGATTGAATGTCCATTAACAATATGATATGATGATTTAATTTGTGCATTATAAACATTGAATATATGTATATCATATTGGGTAATATGAATTTTTGAATTAAAAAAATATTTTGAAAAGTGAGCATAAACCGATTTCTATTATTATTGTTAACAAACCCTAACTTTCTTACCATCTTC